TCGTTCCTTCGTTCCTTCGTTCCTTCGTTCCTTCGTTCCTTCGTTCCTTCGTTCCTTCGTTCCTTCGTTTCTTCGTTTGCTGGTTCGCTCGTTTGCTGGTTCGCTCGTCCATTCGATCGTTCGTTCGTTTGTTCAATCGATTGATCGATCGGTACCATAAAAACAAACAAACAAACAAACAAACAAACAAAAACCATAAACCAAAGGAGCTAAAAACAGAAAACCCAACAACAACAAGAAAGCCTGCAATAAATCGTTCTCTTGTTTTCCAAGGGAGGAATGACACACAATTTTAACTAAATTGGAAAGAGTGTAATTTCGATCTTGTTGTTTTCCAGATTGAAACTTCAGACCCTTCAGAGTTGAACGAAGAGTTCCTTCAAGACCAACTCCACCCCCGCAAGGATCTCATCAGGCAAAAGTTTGCTAAGCCTCCCAAGGCAGCCGGAAGTCGTGGACCCAGGCGGATCCATAATCCGCAGGGGGAGGGGGCTAGTGGGAATTGACTTAATAATTAGATTTTATAGTAGTATCACACGTTTGCTTGTATTTTATTTTTTTGATAAGAAGAAAAAACCATGTTTAATTAGTAACAAATTAGTTGCTCTCTACAGAGGGGCAAGATTGTGCCAAAATGGTTCATGTCGTGTCCCAACGGATAGCAACTCGCATAGAAAGAAAATTGTCTGTTTTCCATCTCTCCATCTAGACAATTGTAATTTTATGATAGTGTATGTACAGTGTTTTTGTTCTCATCTGAATACAATCACTCTTCGTTGAATTATTCTGCACCAAAAGTTCTGTATGTGAAAGAAACTGGTATAGACCGCGTGATATCGTTCTGGGTAAAATTGACAGCAGTCATCACTTATGTGTTTACTAAGATGTGTTACAATTAATCTTTAAATTCTCACATGAGCTAATAGCGTTGTAAAAGTTTGTAAAACTGTGCTTCTAAACATCTCATAAAGCCATTTACTGCGAGCATCCCTTCCCTCTTGACTGCTAACTATTTTTTTGTCTTACTCTTTTTTCTTTTTATTCCCCGTGATTTTGTTCGTCTTTTTTGTGGTACAGCATTGCTACTTTGAAATGGTTTAATATTCGTATTTTATTGAAGGCACATGTACGTTTTGCTAAAAATTCAAAAGCGCTCGTTGCAACGCGTTGCAAATTGTTATGACTTATTAGTAAGATCCTTTTGGAAATAAAACCAGCTATGACGAGTCAAGGTTTAATAGCAAACGAGACTGGTCATCAAAAAACGTAATTTACTAATCATATTCAAAGTGAAAAGGTAGCCCGTGACATGCGCGTAAAATATATATAACTACTTGCCAATCGTAAACATGCCAAAGCGAATTACACAAAGGAAAGTGTGTAACATGGGGCAAGCGCGCGAAAACTTGTAATCATTGGAAAGCGCGGGAAACGTTGTCATCCGTGGCAAGTGCGGGAAGAGACGTAACCCGTGGTAAGCCAAGCGCCGGAAGTGGCGTAAACCTTGGCGGGAAAATGTATCATTAAGGTGACATATGCTGCATTGTGGAGATGAAATGGCAGCCTAAAGGAATCAAAGTGGCTGTGAGCCACTGAACTTGGAAAATAAATTATGACAGGGTGTTATGAGGCATTGCTCATTAGGAACTACTTGTGATGTGAGGGCAGGCTAGCTTTCGAACAAGCCCATAAAGCCTTTTTCCATTCAGGGGTGTGTTGTTATATTTACAAAATGAAAACGTTCAACATTAAGAAACTGTTTGTTATTCAGGCCTGCCTACACGTTTTACATTACATATATCTGTGCATGTCTTCCCTGTGCTGTCAAAAACGGCAAGATCATTTTGTTTCGTCAACAGTGAGGTATAGACTGAGCGAAACACTTGAGCCTGCGG